AAAATTTAAAAAAGGAACTAAGAATTTTGTAGCATACGACTAGAGTACATACTTAATAGTGATGAGTAAAAGAAAATGAAAAATTTGATCAAGTAGTTAACTTGTAAAACTGTTTTCAAAAGAATATGAAGAAGCAAAACACTTTAAACGCGAGTGTATTGGAAAAAATGGATACGTTAAGCAATATTTCGAAAGTTTCTTTTGCTTAGGCGTATGGGATCAGGGTTAAAAATCAAGGTTGTGTAGACTTCTGATCACATAGGTTAACTATATTCAAATGGATCTCTTATAATTTACGCTGTAGTCAGAAGGCCAAGCCTTGAAGGGTACAGTAGATTGGATTAGTTTCACAAATAGCTTGAAATCCCACTTCGAGATCAGCTTGATGTCAACTATCAACAAGATGTCAATAAATGGAGCTTTTTATGATCTATTCTTTCCCTCTTGTTCAAATATGAAAAATAATGTTCATAAACGTGATAAATCACTAACCTAGTTTTATGTAAGATCTGACTCAGAATATTCTTAAGTCTTCAGAGTTATGACTCTCACTCAATGGGTCAGTCATATACAACGTAAAACCTAACACAAATGTGCATCGGCTCAAGTTGCTACATCACATTAATACTGAAAAACAAAGTTATCAAGACAAATCCCTGAATAGTAGAAGAACTATTACTTTTGTAGTTTTTAGTTAGCTTATAATTCCTAACGTTAATTTTCGTAATGAGAATAAGCACTTACAAACTTTTAATAATCACCATATTGAATAAGACGTATCATTGTCACATGACTAATCAGTTGACATACACTGTTGAGTAAAAGGGTGATTTTTTAAACTCTAATCTATTTAAGTCAAAAAACCACTAGAGATTGCGTAGATGTTTTTTTTTTAATTCGACAGTAAACAACGATGGTATAAAAGTAATTATGTTCAGTTATCTACTGTTGTATCCCACCTCCAAGCTAGTCATAAATAACGGGGTCTAATTATGAAAAGAACGAAGTTGTAGTGTTTCAATATACAAGAGTTGTGTGTAAAAGCAATAGGAAGACTGAAGTCCTTCCAGATGAAAACTCAATACGACTGTTTCAGTTTCTCATGAAACTTTCAATGTAAATACTTCAAAACTGATCAAATTGCTGTTATACATTCAAAGGAGAATCACTGGCGTGCTTACTAACGCCTACATAAGTAACGAAACAAAAAAATTCTGCCAAAAAGTACTTGCCAATATCACATAAAAACTAACATCAGAAATCAATACTTGTCTTTTCTAAAATACTATTGGTTATCCTATTATCTGTTTTTTATTTGGTGCATATGTGTGTGCACTTTTACTGTATGCTGATTGGTTGTACATACAAATTGCAGAAAAATTTATTACATACCAGTGTTGTAAAGTGTATTTCACTGAGCTACGCTTGTCACGTAGGCGGGGAATTTAATTTAAACCCAGTTATTGATCCAAAAAAGAATAATTTTAAAGATGCACAAACTTTGTCATTCGTATTTCCTGATTGAAAATTACAAATGAAATGCGAAAAGTTTATCTTCTAAATTGTTTTCTCAAACAGTATGATTAATAATCATTCCATTAACCTTTTCAGCGGTTGATTTGTTCCATTCGAATTAGATAAACAATGCTTACTTCTTGTTGTGTATTTGCGTGCTATGTGCCTAAAAATTGACATCGAAGCTTTTTTGGATGAGTAATTCTCATATCAATTGACTAAGATACCACTCAGACTAGGTGATTTGTTAAAACAATATAAATAAGGTAAACACTTATGTAATCTCATAATTCGCATAATTTATTAAGTTCTTTACTACGCGTTGTTGCGGTGAACATTTTCTAGGTAGTTGAAGGCAAATTGTTTGCTCAATCATTGAACAACGGGTTTCATCTACTAACTATTGTGTTTATCCCCTTAGTCCCTCCGGTATTTGTGCGCTTGCTTATAAGTAAGTTGGGAAAATATAAAGGTCAGGTGAACAAAAACATAGTTTCAATACACGAAATCATCAGCTATTTGCTTAAGCAGTGTTGACAATTGTAGACTTCATCGTTAGAGCCTACGCTGTAATCATAATCTGTGGTTGAAAAGGTTAAGTATTATGACCTATAATAAATTTCAATAAAGCTGTTCCTAAGCTATTACTCTAAATCTTGATCTTATTGTCATAGCATACATCTCAGGCGGTTGGTGAAAAATTTTCGTATTTTATATCACTATAACACTGACTATTCTGTCACGTGACTTTAGTAGGGATGTTCGGCAAAAATTACTTACTTACTTACGCCAGTTACTCTCAATGGAGCATAGGCCGCCGACCAGCTTCAACCCATTCTGTCCTGGGTCTTCCTTTCTAGTTCTATCCAGTTCCTGTTCATTCTTCTCATGCCTGTCTCCATTTCTCGGCGTAATGTGTTCTTTGCTCTTCCTCTTCTCCTTAGGCCTTCAGGATTCCATGTAAGGGCTTGTCTTGTGACGCAGTTGGGTGATTTCCACATTGAGGAAATCACCCAACTCCGCCTGTAGCTCCACCAGGGGCTACTACCGGTCCCAAGGCCGGGTAAAGGCGGAGGGTTGGGTATGGGGTTAGCGACCCCATTCCGTAGAAAACCAACTCACTAAAAAGCGCTAGCCAGAAAAAATTATTCTGCAGAAATTAGAAATCATAATTTTCGAAAAAGGACAATGTGGATTTACTGGGATTCATAGGATAGCTTATTAAAATACATACAAAATGCTGATACCAGAATTTAAGTAAAATGAATAAAATATCTAAAATTCCCGCAACTAGAACGTCATTACTATAATATTGAAATCATTGCTATTGGCACTCATTTCTCATCCTATCTCGAAACTTTATGTTAGTTTCCAGTCGCAGATCACTGTCGCCTATACTCTTGCAATATTTATACATGTTAGATAACTTAGTTCTCATTACACTGAATAATTAATTGTTTATTCCTTCTAATAAGTCAAAAGTAAGTTTGATCTCTTAATAAAGATACTGTTTTGGGACATAGGTGTAGATAGCATGTATATAATCATTTCGGTACATCTCAGTATCCAGAACCTAGGTAATAAATCACGTGATTATTATTACATGATCTAAATTTTGGACTAACAGTAGATAAGATTGAAATAATTTTGACTAAATAGTTGAAAGCTTCTATTTAAAAATAATTGTTTGTAAAGTAACCAAAATTGGTAATACAAGTCAAAAGAAGTACTATTGTAGTGAACAAAATACGACTGGGGGACAATCGAATGTATTTAAGCAAAAATTACAGACTATCTCAGTAAATTCTGATAACCAAACAATGAACAGTCAATTTGCAAATTAACAACCAATTGTTTCAATCTTCTCTCTTTCTTCTCTAATTTCATTGCTCATGCATTTCCAAACGATTGCGCTTCATTTCAGCTCTTTGCTCATCGGTCTTCTGCCAAAATACATTCTGTGTCTGACCCACACCATATACTACTTATATGGATATAAGTAGACCACACCACACTCGTCCCCCCTTTAAAGCATTCGACCATGCGGTGGTTCTGCTCGCCACGCCACTATCTTCTTTCACTGCAGTCTGTGCCAAACTCTCCGTCAGAATGTCGAGTCTGCGGCGCGCTGACCTCCATAGCTCCGCCGACCTGCCGGGGCACCAACATCCGCATCCACCCGGCACCTGGGACGTTCAACACCCGTACTCCACCGGCCTGCTGAGCCATCTACATCCGATGTCCGCACAGCAGCCGCACGTCCCACTGCTACTCTCCATCGACAGCACCCGCTACAGCCAACGCCGCCCCGCCAGAACACTCCACTCGACGCCACCTCTCCTCACCAGACTGCCCCAACTAGCACCTCCACTCCAGACCCGCAGCGGCGTCCGCAGAACAGCACCCTTCCTCCTCCTGGTTGGCAGCGACACCAAATGTAGTGAACAAAATACGACTGGGGGACAATCGAATGTACTTAAGCAAAAATTACAGACTATCTCAGTAAATTCTGATAACCAAACAATGAACAGTCAATTTGCAAATTAACAACCAATTGTTTCAATCTTCTCTGTTTCTTCTCTAATTTCATTGCTCATGCATTTCCAAACGATTGCGCTTCACTATAACAACAATGCCATTCATTGGAATAATTACAATAAAGCACACTAGATGATATGTATGAATTTATAAAGTATTTTGCACTGTCAAACCGATTGGTCCCAATGTAATAACTGTAACTGTTTTTCCTTGAATCCCAAAAATATAACTAATTAAGTATTTTCTTTTTCGATGTTTGTTTCAATATGGTATCCCAGCGAATTATTGTGTTAGTGGATGCACTGGATAAATGACATGATCACCAAAGTGTTGTTACCTGTAAACAGTATTTTGTTAGCCTATTAACCAGTGTACACGCAAAAAATGTGGGAGCTTTCTAAAGTTATTTAGAAAATATTTACAACTCTATACAACGATCTACTGTATCTACAACCATTAAAATGATCTTTTCGACGCGGAACATACTTTGATTTTGCAACTGATAAAAAACAATTACGTTTGAAAATAATTTGATGCTAAGTTACTGTACTCATCTTAGTTTTATTACATTTTAACCATATATTTTTAATTTATCTGTATTCTCAAGGTTTAGTAATTAGCATACAAGTTGGTAGTTCATTTTGAGGTCCGCACATGTTCGTCATTTAAACATAGTTACTCAAATCGATTAATTAACTTCATGTTCATAAACTGGTGAATTTGGATATAACAATTACATGATTGTTTCGCAATAAAATTGTCTAGTAAACCGATTTTGATTGGTCTTTAAGCCTCCATGTGTAGTCTTTTCAGTTCGTGTTTATGGTTATTTGCAAAAATATTTAATAATAAGTTGTCAAAAAGATTATCATTTATCATTAAATCTTGTTAAATCAAATCATATTTTTCGCTTGGATAATCTTTTTCATTTTGATTTCACAATATAGGGTGACGATGGGGTTGTTGGTTGTTATTATCAATCATCAACAAATGCTGTGAATATTCGAGCTGGATATAATGATATAGCTGGTAAAACTACGAATTTTTATAATGGACCAGATGAAGTAAGTTAAATGCAATTCTTTATAAAATTCACAAACACTCACACAATTTATTAAATATCTAAACATGCCTTGACATTAAGAAAAAATATAGAAAATGTTAATCTTTCTTAATCATTTATTTCTTGTCGACAGTGTAAGACTATATTGTTCAATGTAATTAGTAATAATTACTTGAATGTTGTTAATAACAGAGAAATATCTGCTAACAGTAAACGCAATTAACAAAATTACCTGTAATTGAGATTGAAAAATATGTAACTTATCCATGCTCAAAAGTTATCTCATTTCTGTCCATAACAAAACAGAAGAAAATGTACATGTAAACAGAAATGATTACAATAAGTAGAAGTATGAAAGAAGGTAGTTTATGACAACGTTTCAGTAGAATTTTTATTTAAATTCTGTAACTCAAGTTTAGTCCTGATATTCCTGTGAAATGAGTAAATTTTGATTATCCTATTGGCTTGTGAAAACATTAATAGGTAACTTATATAAACAAATGCAAAGTATTAAACCCAAAATTGTTTATTATATCTTCTAGTTGGAGGTTTAAACCTTCCATGGCCCACTTCGTCGTCACAGTTTAATACTACTAGCTTTCACATATGAAATGTTTCAAAAATCGATACATAAAACCTCTTGCTAAATAACTTCTCAATTTATACAATTTTTTCCCTGGAAATGACTAAATAATTCCTGATGTCAAATTTCGTTGTTGCTTATAGTCAAGAAAAAAAAAACTCTTGATATATACTTTTAAATTTTTTTTATCGTTTTCAGGAAAAAATTTGGCTAAGATTCAGAATTTTATTTACACTTTTCCGGTTATGTATCTATGTGCTTACCAACTAATAGAGAGAATAGAGAAAAAAAGTGTTCTACTTATTTTATTACATAACTACACTTTATTCTTTGTACTATAAACATTTTTCTTATTTGTTTACTATTAAAAAAATAATTTCACGATCGCTACTGTACTTAGTTGCTGCTTGATTATATAACAGTTAGAAGTAGATATTTCCTCTCTTCCACTAAAACAAAAAATTTTCTTAGTATAATATAAACCGATTTACGTGGTAAGCTGTGTACTATGTACTATGTACACGTATACGCCTATACACTCTTATTCGATTGCGTAGATTATTTATGTAGAAGGACTACTAGATAACACATTTTGTCAGCCCATAATTATATATATATATATATATATATATATATATATATATATAATTATTTTTGGAATTTTACTTTAATGTTTTTTATCTTTGGCAGTCAGTTAGTCAGTCATCAGCAACGTAGAATCTGGTACATGTGTACATTGGTTCAAGTTGCTACACCTTATTAACACAGTGAAATGATTGTTTTACAAAGTATTGCACCATATGGATGTTGATAAATGTTTATGTACTTGTGTATATAACCACACATAACCACACATAAACTAACCAATTTTGTTTTGAAGAATATTTTGACCTACATCTCTATTTACATTAGAAAGAAATATGGAAAAGTTTCTACTTTTTCTGTTTTTTTTATCGATCCACGTTAGATACAAAGTTACAAATGCAAAAAATGAATAAAGTGGATTGGATATTAAGTACACGAATGCACTCTGGGGGTGGGGTGGAGTGGGGATAATTTTGTTTACGAATAATATCCTTAGAGATACAGAAATAGAACATAGAGCATCAAAGACCCCCGTAATATAAATGATATTAGTAGCTTGTACTATATCTTAAAGTTTTGAGACATAGTTTTCGTCAAAGAAACAAAAACAAAACAAACAAAATTAGTGCTAAATTTCCGGTACTGTTGCTCCTTTTGTACTAATTTTTGAATTCTAGAAGTTTTCATCGTGTTATCAAAATTCTGAGGTGGATTTCATGAGTATAGGTTGCACTCTTTTACAGTCAACCAAATAAATTAAATGGATATTGAATTCTGGAGTCAGTTACTGAATGATATCTTGACTTACTATAAGACTGAGACCTAGAGATACCTGGGTTCCGCCTGTTATGTGAATTCACGAGTAGTCTGATCAGCCAACATGTGTTCACTGAATGAGAAAACCAATATTTCACTTCTCAGGAATTGTAAAACTAGTTAGATATCAAACTTATTGGTTTCCTTTAACAACAAACGAACAGTAGTCAAATTGCTACGTACAAGCTACAACAAACGGGTTTCAACCAATATTGACTTTTTAAGTTATTGAATCATATAGCCTAAAATAAAATAAATTAGGAGCTGCTGGAGATATATTCATGGAGATAATTTATATCATAAGGAAAGCTATCATCCTCATACATTTCCAATGTCCCTGGAGTGTTATTTTCTCATGGATTGCTTTCTTTTCTAAACTCCTTTTTCATTCCTTGGTGTTTTTGTCTACAAGATGGATAAAATACACTTTCTATGTAATTTTGTTTTCCAGACACATGAATTTTTTTATTTCTTAGATGTTATCAAATGAATAGGCATAGCCTATAAATTACTTATTCTTTGCTGTTATGACTTTGTATATGTAGATGTTATTGTCCAGTATTTAGCGAAAAAATAAGTGTACATAGGTGAACTCATCCTCCTCTCATTATGCTGCTTGTTTTTGGGGCGAAGAGGACGTTATTATAGCCAGCTAACTAGTCATAAACTTGAAACAGTGTTCGTATATAAATATGTAAATGACTGATGTCAGATGTGACTTGTATATCATGATGTTTTAGCGAGTGTTATATCCGAATAAAGACTGGTATGGCTCGATGCAAGGAAGAAGATTTAGACAGACAGGTGTGAACTTATTAAACATCAGAAATGAGTCCGGAACTTAATCTAAATAAACCGAGTTTTTACATGGTAAGCGAAGATGGATAGTGGCTAGCAGTGGAATGGAGGACGCGCGTTTCGTCCTATTTGGGACTCGTCAGCTGGATGTACCTGCATCTCAGTGTTGATGTCCATTCTGGGACTCGAACCCAGTAACTCTCGCTTGAAACGCCATCGCGTTATCCAATCAGCTACTGAGTCCATCTTTAAGTTCTTAATTCGACAATTATGAGGTGATTTACAATCAGATGTAACAACTATTCTGGATTTTCTGGTTTTAAATTGTTCTGTAGCTGATGATGAACATCAACTCTGAGATGCAGGTACATCCAGCTGACGAGTCCCAAACAGCACGAAACGCGCATCCTAAACTCCACTGCTAGCCACTATCCATCTTTGCTTACCATGCTTGTGAAATTAGGCTATATCGAGGCAATACGCACAGTATGCACATATGCCAATTAGAGACTGACCAGTTGCAGTCCTAAGCATCAATGGGAAGATTCAAACAAACAATACTAAGTTAATTTCAAGTTTTTACATGTATTACTTAAACTTATGAATAGTCAAATTTAAATAAATTGAACTGGATAGTAGTTTATGCTAATTAATCAGTAACTTAATGTATGTATGCAATCTACGACATTAAATTAAGTTAGTGCATAGCAAACAAATGTTACTAATCTTAATATAGTCCTTATTTAGCTGTACAAATGCGAGTTGGTTTTTCTGTAGCTGTCATTGTAGTGTGTGCTACTGATGTCGACAGATATAAGTAGTATGTATCACCAATGAAAAGTGAAATGCCTGACGACAGAAGGTTAAGAAAATCGAAGAGAAGAGAACGAGAACAGAGAGTGATTAGTGTGGAGATTAAGGAACTGTCAAGTCTGAGACAATTGATTGACATTTTGCAAATGAATTGTTTACTATATGGTTCTCAGATTTTACTAAGAGACTGTAATTTCATGTTTAAATACATTTGGTTGTCCCCGCACTTATGTTGTCGTTCACTACGCCCTGATTTCCCCTAATTTGCTTCGTATAACTGCAAAATATTTCACACAAAAATGCATCTAAACAACTGAAACCATACGTAAATCGTGTGTTATATAGTTTTCGTAAGAAAGCTGCATGTTCATAACCAGGTCTTAGAGACGAAAACAGTAACGACAACAATCGATTAGTTGAATATAAAAAGTAATGATTGTATTTTATCATTTCTGAATGCAAAATTACATTCCTAAGTTTAGGAAATTAATAGCTGAATTTTGTTTATTCCAATGAATATCTAAATAAAGGATCAAAATAATCTTTTTCAGATGTATTAATAAACATATTCAATGCAGTTACCAAAATTGATTGCCTCATTGATGAACATTCAAGTAATGTTTCTTGTGTGTGCATCCCAGTGCACTATTTGTATGATATTCAACCAACTTTTTTTCAGGATCTTATTGACGATATGGATTTGTATCTTCCCAGTATGTATAAATATTGAACAAGGTTGAAATTTTAAGTAATCACTGAATGATTTATTAATGCATAGTTAAATTGACTGATGAACATCTGGGTACTGTCTGCCTCGACGTTAATCTTCAAGTAAAGCTTAAAAGGAGTGAACTTCAGAGTCGTCAAACTAATGTATCCCACTTATTCCGAATTGCTTACGTTTTTTGACACCTACATTGAAGTGTTAGAAACATCCTAATTAATGTTCTCAAGACGACCAAAATGAATGGTTAGAGAGGGTGTAATTTCCACTCAGGGATTTAATCTAAAATCACTTATAGTTTGATAATAACACAATGACTTTCTATTCTTTATTTAAGCTTGTTTTTTTTGTGTTTCTTTTACAAACTATGCTCTTAGAATCTACTTTCTTCCCTCTTAGATTTAATTTTATTGCATTCCGTTAATTTGGTTGTTTATGTAGTGTGAGGCAATTTCTCAATGTTTGAAATAGTTTACATCTACCTTCTTTTATCTATTTATATGTGAATTATTCTTCTGATTATAATCTCATTTGTAGTTTTCTGATTGAATTGGCTGTTAAAGGAGTTTGTAACTCTTGAGGGGTAATGGATTCCTTGGTTTTTGAAAATATCTACTATCTAGTGCTATTTGGATACACTATTTCATTCGACTATTTCTAAATCAGAACACAAATTGGAAGTAAAGGAAAATACATCCCAAAAATTCAAACAACAAAGTGTAATGTGGTAAAATGTCAACATACATATATGACACACAGGAATACTCTAGTATCTCCTCAGTCTATCCGCTATCGTTGATTGGTTGAAGAATGAACCAAGTTGTGCGTTCATTTCGATCTAGTCTCAAGCAAGTAGTAATCAAGAATCTATTCTGCTAAGAAGTAGAATTTTTCGAAAAAGATAAAAACATAGTTTGCTTGAATATTGCCTAATCTGACTTTTATTTATTTATTAAAAAACGTAGGTTATAGATACTCAAATTCTCATAAAATTGTTTTTCTTTGTTCAACATTTTTCAATTTATCAGATCTATTCGAGCTCATTTATTATTATTATTCATAGGAATTATTAATAACAGACGGTGAGAATTTAGGTGGTACATTTAATGCAATGGATGGTACATTACAGTGTCGTTTTAGACGACGTGTTCGACCACTGGATACAGTTCATCAATTAATGGATTTAACATCACCGAATGCATATCATTTGATTGTTACTCGTGGTGTTGAACGTAAAAAAGACGGATTCGGTCGTCCTTTCGCTGGTGGAGAATCGGTGTCTCAACGTCCGGTTGTCATTACTTCGTAAGTAATTGAATTATGCTTATTCTCCTTTTCAAACTTTTGCTGTAGGCTTTTTTTCTCTACAAAAATAAAAATTGTTAAAATATATTAGTTTTCTTGCAAATTCATAGCAAAAGTTCTGGAATTATTTATTTTAAAGTGAATGAAAAAATGTATCTAATTGACCGTTTGTAATTGAGATAGCTTAACGATAACGTTTCTGATCGTTGTGTACTGAATTACATAAGTTTAAATAGGTAAGCGAAAGAATGAAGTTACATAAATCCCTAACCTGTTTAAGTGAAGGTAATAGACGACTTCACGCTGGTGAATTATAAAAAATACTATCTACAATTTATTCAGAAACTAATGGTTCCGAATTGTCGTGAGCAGGAACAATGGTACTATCATTTTGAAACTTCATATCATAAAAACAAAACCTAAACCAAGTGTGTTGTTATTGGCAAGTAAGGAGGATAAAGTAAATAATTGGTCAATTATTCCTATTACGTTAGGATCTTTTTAGAAAAGACAGTTTGACAGATTTATGTATAAATATCATATCTCCACTCATGTCCCACCTAATGTTACGTATTTAAGTAATTAGGTATGCGTATATTTAAATAAATTTTAAAGCCCTTCTCCTTTATAAACACTGAACATACAAAATATCAAGGCTGTATTCTTTAACTTTACCAATAGAGCACAATCAACACTGATTACCAACTGTTACCCATCTGTTTTCATTAAATTTACTATAATTTTGTAATTATTAATTCACTGTTAAATCTATTTATTTATTTTTAATCCATTGTTTTCTACCTTTTCATCAGACCTATTTATGGAAGTATGACAGGCATAATTGGTCGTGGTTCTGCAATAGCCAAAACTCATGGATGTCTTATGGTATTAGCTTGGGTATTATGCGCTAGTATTGGTATTATACTAGCTCGTTATTACAAAGATGTATGGCCTAATTCTGGTCTATTAGGTGAACGTGTCTGGTTTCAATCACATAGAATATTACAAGGCATATGTGTCGGTTTAACGTGTATTAGTATAATTTTGATTTTCATCTATTGTGAAGGCTATTCACAAGCAACAGCATATCCATATTATATACATCCAATACTTGGTTTAATTGTCTTCTCTTTGGCTTTGATCAATGTAAGTTTTATATGGGATTTGTAGGAAATTCTTCATATTTCCTTAGCATATATATATATATATATATATATATATATATATATATATACCAAATTCATGAATAACTATAAGTATTGAAATGATCTACTTGATAGTTTGTTGACATAACCTCAACTTGGACCTCTAAACAACACAGTTACTAGAATATAGAATCACTGGGTGAGACTATAATTTATAGAAGAACCAATCACACTTAAGATAGTATATCTTGGATTCTAGTGCGAAATTCGTTCACTCATTTGGCTAAACACCATTTTGGTATTATATCTGATGTCACTTCATGATAAAAACATTAAATCTAATTCCTAAACCTAGCATTTAACTGTAAATCCTAATTCCTTACACTAATATATAATTCTCATTCAACCCTTATAAGTAGGCGGACATTCCAAAGTTATTTTAGCGTTGCTCACGAGTCATCCGTAAATTAAAGTCTTGCCAATCACTGACCAACTGAATCATAACTGTAATCTATGTGTAAAAAAATTTGATCAAGATAAGACGGCTGAAATTATTACCAGATAATGAATAATGATCAATCAAGAATAACAAAGTAATCCGTATTCCCTCACTTTAATCCTTCATATCATACTTGCGTAATAGTGTCAAGTCATTATCTCTGAAATTCTGTTTTATCCGTATTCAAACTGCAGACCTTTAGACTGAAAGATCTCAGTAGTAAATAACTTAAAGTTTCATATTGATATTAATCATAATTTACAAAAACAATCAATACACCTAGTCATTAGATATATAATTAAATTAGTTACCTAATTGCTGCTTCCATCTTGGTATACAGAAATTAAGTAGATGTGATAGGTAAAAGTCACAGAAACCAAGTACGGTTAAATTATATTCTCGGAAGGGGGGTTTTGTGGTGATTTTTAGTAGTTTTATAGTTGAAATCATGAGTCAATTGAAGCTAGACTACCATGGAAAACTTGGAAGCACTGTACGGCTGTTTCGTCCTATTGTGGGACTCCTCAACAATGCGCATCCACGATCCCGCCCTGCGAGAGTCGAACCCAAGATCTATCAGTCTCGCGCGCGAGCACATAACCTCTAGACCACTGAGCCGGCCGTCCAATGCTTCCAGGTTTTCCATGGTGGTCTAGCTTCAATTGACTCATGAAGTCAACTATAAATTATATTCGTTTCAGTTGTTTAATAAGACCCAAACAAGTACTATTTGAAGTCCTGGATAGTCCAAGAAAATCAACGAATTCATGATTTAAACAAAATAATTGATTTCTTTCTCAATTAACTAGCTCTTATTTATGTTTGCATAATACGAAGTTTCATCAGGTAACCTTGTAGATGACATAGTTTTATGATTCTATTCTTGCGTTGTAATTCACCTATGGAGTACAATTTTATGTACTTAACTTTTGGCTATAGTTTGTTTGTGTCTAATGACACTAACCAACTAACTGAACTGAAGTAAGTTGAATGGGGTCCAAATTTGCTGCTTCAAGTCAAGTATTTTCATCACTAACCTCCATTACTCCAATATAATTCTTTTACACTCTGTGTACGTTTTCGATTCTGTACTTTTGTTTTTTACTATTTCCTCGACATATATCGTACGTATGTTGACCTACAAATTAAGTTTCAGTCTGGCTTTTTAATAAAACACCTGGACAATACACCCATCCATTGGTTCGTTACTTTAAATCTATTTATGAATTAGAGTTTTTTTTGCCTCAAAAACATTTCTCTTTTCTTTCATATTCATCATTGATTATATCAAACAGGAATTTATTGACGTACTTAGTTCCTTTTAAGTATGTTTCATACATTTCATTCTTTTAAGCCAATTATCGCATTATGCCGCTGTAATCCAGCTCATGAATACAGACCTTGGTTTAATTGGATACATTTTTTCATTGGGACATTCGCTTATATATTGTCTGTACCAACAATGATGTTAGGTTTACGCATGCCTGCGGCTGGCCTACAACTACAATTTATTAATTATCCATTATGGATTTTAATATTTTTTGTAATCTTCCAATTTATGATTGAAATTATCCTGGAAATACATGGATGTTTCTATTATCGTCGAAATAAAAGTAAGACATAAGTTTCTGATTATTATTGCTCATTATTTTTCTGTTTTTTTCCATTGTGTTTCACTTTTTGTTAGATTGTTCTTTGTAAAAGAGAAACTAGTAACATATTAGTGGCTTATTGAAGTATATACCTGACGCTGGTTTCTCAAAGTTAAATCACCTAGTTTTATATTCAAAGACATCACTGTGTTCATGGCTGTGAAATATATACCGTTGGTCGACTTTAAAGATCTAATATAGAAATGAATATAGTGTACTCAGTATAAAGTCATTTAGACTGGTAATCACTGTGCAGCTTCCTCGATAGAATTCGATCAACTTTAATGAATAAACATAAACACAAAAAATTGTTGACAAATCAGTGTACTAATAACAAATAGAGGACATAATGATTAGTTTATGTTTCAAACATTGTTTGAGTCGAAAATGTGAGCAATGGGAAAATTCTTTTAATACAACGGCGAATCTAACGTACTTTAATGAACCGGACAACTTATACATAATTACACTTCAACGATGATAACTTCATGCGAACTAAGAGAGGGAAAGTATGAGACTTTCAAGTGAGCTTTCATATGACCGTATGTATAATGCTATATGGTTGGAGATAGTGGAAAAAGAAGAGCTAAACCTAGGTTCCGTGGTAGTTGGTACTCATTAGTGAAGCGTACCTGCAGTCTTAAGGTATCTCATGCTGCTCATTGTATTCAAATGCTCGCCACCCAGCCTCACACTATGTATGATATTTTACGGAACAAAGTAACAATAGAAATAAATGTGCATTACATGACAACGATTATATTATTTCCGAGGTATAAGAAATGTCACAAGAATAATTTTTGTTGTGGTGAGTGACGTAGGTCACAATAATGATTTCCATCAACCTTCCTACACTACTACTAAATGCACACACACACAATTTTAATATCACAATACTTCTTCGAGTCCATTCCTTGCTATTCACCATCGGTATTAATATATTGACATTTTTTGAGATACTAGTCCGTCATATAAAAACACAATAAATGTTCTATTTTATTTTCTAGGATTTTGTTTTAGTTAAGATGGAATTCCGTGTCACAGTTTGAAATCTAATTTTAAAAATGTTTCAGCTTAATAAAATTGTTTTTCTACAAATTTGTTCATTTATCTATTTACGTGTTCTATCATACAACCATTCATAATGCAATAAGTACTAACAATAATAATAATGAACCTAATCTCGTTTAACATCTACAAATTTCAGTACTCTAGGAAGAAAAAGTTGGTTTAGATCAAAAGAATTGTTTAATGAATAATAATAATGGGTGTAAATTCATAAACGATCCTTAAAGATTCCATGACTTTAATCATCAATAATCAACTTGCTCACTACTAAAAAGCATGTGAAGGATTTCGATTATTGTTGATAAATTGTCCTAGTCTTATCTTTTTGCCCAATTAATATCGCTTCTGAAAACTTCGAAAAAAAGAGTTGGACTACAATCTCTTCGTTAACAGTTTGTTTCATCAATATTAAGATGTGATATTTTCTCTCACAAGTTCATGTTGTGTGTAGAAAAGGAGTGGAAACTTGACGACTAAGATTATCCATCTCAGAATTCGCTTTCTGCTCCATGAAATTCTGTCCATCGTATCAAAATACTAGGAAAAATATATTTGATCATTATTTCATAGTTTATATGGACTCCAAAATGAGTTACACAAACTTCTCTTTTCAAGTAAAAAGCATGGTCATCATTTTGATGGACGATCCCATACAACTTACAGTAGTCATGTTTGAACAATGCGGAGCGAAGCGCAAAATCACACGTATTCTTTCCCCACTTCATTATCTCCAATCAAATGAATAAGTGGATATATTTGTAAAGAACTTCAAGGAGAAGGAATGACTGAAAAGATCACAATAAGCAAGGTGAATCCAGTGACACTGAAGAGTCCCACTAGTAGAATATCTTGTGACTAGGAAACTACTAACAGATTTTGACGTTCTGCTTCCACCAAAATACCAACTTTTAATCGTTCCACTCACTGAATTCACACTACAACAGTAGATGTTGTTGCGCATTAGTTACTCAGGTATTTGGAAATCTTTCTTATAGATATATTTTGTTTTATTGGGTACAACTAAAATCTTATTAAGCTCACCATGTATATGTAAGTATAAAATGGAATATATTGCTTTATTTATATCTTTGGTTTTTTTCTTTACAGATAAGCGTCGGACATATGTACTAGAGATTGATCAATATCAAGCTGCAAAGCGTTTGAACAACGCACGTCAACCAAGACCTCCTGAACCGGAACCTTCTGTAGGTTTCAAGTTGTTCAGTGTTTCTTTTGTTCTAAACAAATATGGTTTACAGTGTAGATACGTGTTCACTTGACCTTTATTTAACATTAGCTTAAAAATGCTCACTTGTTAAGTTTAATAGAAGGGGAAAACCTTATTTCTTCAATATTTTAAAAGGCTTAGGCATTATTGCTCATTGTGATATAACAAACTCTCATACCTATTTCTGCCAGGTATATATATATATATATATATATATATATATACGAGTTTTCCTAAAAGCTTAATATGAATACAACAGTAATTCTCATTTTTTTCCTCCGTTCAAGATATTTGACATTAGTATTATTATGCAGTTAATTATAGCACCAAACGTGACTATTTATATGAATAGATCATTTCAATGAGATTCTTTGTATATCAATCAGCTCTGAAACAGTATTTAATGAATTTAATAAGAATATTTCAATCATAAATTAAAAATCATTACATAATTCACCTAAGTAGTTTATTTATGGAATACAGCTGACAAGACTTGCTAAAATGAGTGCCCGAAAAAATTGTTATAATGTTGTAAAATACTAAAAGGTATCTATCTTGTTTGGAATTGTTGGCTATGGTGAACAGCTCTTGTCAGTTTTCAACTTCATACTATCATATCAAACCCTAAATGATGGAATTAAGTTGTTGTATCTCCACACTGTTTTTTAACTATTGTGTTGTAGTTTAAATCCCCTTTCTACTTACTTTACTATAAACAGTTACATGAATTAAATATAATCTTAAGTCTGACAAACAAAAAACAAGTTTTCGAAGTTTTTTTCTATATAACTGTAAATATTAGCCAGCAACTGATTTTTCTCTTATTTCCGCTTCATTTTTCTTAAATTTTAGGGTCGCATGTTCAAATATTTCATAATTGGACTCCATGCTACAGTTTGCGCAATTGTTGCCGTTATCCTCGTTATAATCATAGCCGTTAATTAATAGTTATTTTCTGTTTAGCTTTTACACTACTTAACTGTTTTATCAGTAGTCTAAGTAACTATTGTAAATGTGCCTTACATACAAATGTCTTATCTATAACTGGCCATATTTCTTTAGGTTATCGTTATCATTCGCGTGTACTCAGTGTCTTTTCTTTCTTTAAATCTTAAACAATTTTTTCCGCGCATATATCCATGAATTTCTATTTTATCGCTAGATATATAAATAATGAATAGAATCTCAGCTTCCTTTATTCTGTAATATGTAAAACGTCATCCAGTTCGAAAAACATTTCACAAATGTTAAAAAAAGCAATGAAAATAATTTTCTTCATAAATAATAACCTTGAATGACGCAAGTTAGTTTGTTCTATTAGAGTTCCCTTGGAAAAACTTTCTATCCTTCTAACTATTGCTTATAACTTGTTTTAACTTCATTTGGTTTTTTGTGCCTTCTTATTTTAAGAATTGATGGGATAAAAAAGGAGTAAATACGACTTACTTTTCAAGATTCTTCTTTGAAACAAAATAATTCATGTCGATGAGCACACACAAACACATTAGTTGAGACATACCATATATATATATATATATATATATATATATATATATATATAACATTTATGCACCACACTAATATTTATAATGCATTATTATTATTATTATTATTATTATTATTATTATTTACTATTGTTCTTAACATTAATAACGTTTTTATCTGTCCAATCAGTATTTACACAAATATTTATCAGTGCTGCCATATATTATTATTATTGGTAATGAATTCGATTATATACACTGTCAAGATCCATAACTTCTGTTTTTATTTCAAAAACCGTTCAGTCAGAAAAAAATAACTTCCTTGATGCTTTCTTTTTATTTCATTCCATTGCTGTTTATCGTTGTTTATACATTTTCAGTTTATTATACCAATCTCATTTTTCAGTTATTTAACCCTTACCACAATCATTGTTCCTTCTCGATACACATATGCTCTCTTCTCTCCCCCCATATGCTATACCTTATTGTTATTCTTCGAACACAATCGTGTCGTTGTTCTGACACTTATGTTTACTTACTGGATTTGTTAACTTTTTTTCCTTCTCTGACTTAATCTTTCACACTTCCTTTGTGCGCCGGCTAATCTTGTCTTGTTTTTGCTTTTGGTTCAAATTCTTTTTAATTAAAACTGAATAAAATGAGCGGAGACATATATAAATATATAATATTATATATAATTAACTGTTTTTTGTTTAGGTGTCGCTTTTAGAGAGTAATATTTTTTATTAAATAACTATTCCTTTCCAATTCGATATTAATGGTGATTACAAACAATATGTTTATCAGTGTACTCCTATAGTGCCCGATAACAGAAACGGAGACTCATATTTTGTATTTACGACTAATTGGCCAGTTATACCTCTATCTCAGTGTTAATGTTCGCGTCGGAACTCCAAATTATTGCTCATTGCTTCAAGCACCAACTTGTCATCCACTGAGCTACTGTGTTCAGATATGTACTAACGTATTCAACAAACATGAATTTATTTTAAGAGTTTGTATTTTCCCGTTATTGATGTTAGGAACTGCAACGGATTAGATTTTGCCAGATGGGGTTTCCATTACTGCTTACAACCCAATAGAAACAGCCGTCAGCGTTATGATTGGGAAAATGCATACACTTAAGTATGAATAAGTTTATTATTTCACGTTTCCTTAATCTCGTATATTATCAAATACTAACAAATAGTATGTAAAGAGGAAAAAAAACACTAGGAAGAATTTCAAACATTGGGTTCCTTGTATAATTTAAGATAGAACAAGTTTATCCGCATGTAGAGGATAAGTATTTTCTCATTCGACTTCAATGGTTCCTATCAGCTCCAAAGCAGACAACAGATACCAGGAATAGTATGATTAGGAAAAATAGTTTGGAAAACTTAAGTTGATAATTGTAATCAAATATTAAAATCTTTCCACTAAGATTGTTATTTAAGGCTTTAGACTGTCTCAGATAAGAAGCCTTAAAAAAATGACATCACCCTATCGTACAATCCTTTTGGCCTTGTTTTGTTCAGATATTGTAGAAAAAAGTATCCGAAACCGTCTACTAACATCATGGGTTTATTTATATCTGATTTCTACGGTTCACTTGAGTTCTGGCGAGAAAATGTGACCAGTGGGTTTCAAACATGTTAACTGTGAAACAAATATTACTAATGAGAAATGATGGTTGTCCAATAATATCATGAATTAGTTGAAATTAGGAACGTAAACCAATCATTACCGGCTTATCAGTCTAAAAATTAAGAACGCCGTAATACTTTAAGATCTTAGATTCGATAAGGTGTATGTTCATGAATCCTCAGTCCCGAGAAGTTATATATGAGGACTAATACATCTTTGTGTCAACTGTCTAACTAATGTCAAGTGACCATGCAAACTGTAAGTTAATCTATCCTTCTGCTTAGATTTTCTTCGACAATCAACTGAGTACTGGCTGAATATATGATTTTTAAATCAATGTTGAGCTTATGTATGTAGTATAGGCTTGTAGAAAAAAACGACAAGGTCAAACATAGAGCAAAGCTCATCAACCGCCTTCTGTTGTGATTCATGCTATTTATTAATGTAATTTTACTCTTCGTAAACGGAGTGATTTTCGACTGATTCATTTGATTTAATAAGAAATGATATATAAACGCGTATTAGGATCTATACTACTATCATTCATTAATTTTCTCAGTCTTAAAGGAGTTAACTTGTGCCATTCCGATACATATTATGTAAACAGTTTTACTAAGATTTTGATCGATGACACAATGGAGAAACGGATAAGTTGATTTAAATTAAGACAAGGCTGATTAAATATACGTTTATGATGACATATGAGTATGTCCTTTGTTCCAGCCGACAAAGTAGTTAGGAGACACAGAAATCTGTATATCTGCTTTCATCCTTCACAAATATAACGTTTGGGTATTTTAGATTAGTGGAACAATAAGTTTTTAGCTTGAATCCATTTAAAGAACAAAACGTGCAAATTTATTTTTACTAATGATACTATTCTAAGTAGTTAAAATGTGTTAGATGACAACACAAGGAACGTATTTATCGAAGTAACTTCTTGGGATATTTACCCAATACTCGGAAAAGAAGCTGATACTCCCGCTGTAGAAGAGATAAGAAATGTTTTATCTTTGATCTGTGTGCCCACTAATCTGGGCATATTAGATAGGGTGAGAAAGTTGTCTCGACCTAGTTATAGGTTGCTAAGTACAGCCTTGAGACTAGTAACGTGTCAGTCAGATTTGTGGCTGAACGGCCTTAAGGACAGAGAGAAATCTGTCCTACCTATGACCTGACAGGTTGGCAAGCGGAAATAGAGAAGACAATTTAACTGAAACCATTATCCGGTCTATTCCTGTCTCAATCTAATTCAAAGAGGCACCTGACTAGCAAGGCCACAACTTGCAAATACTGAGAAAAGTACAGTCGTATCCAAACTAGGATATCGGGATAAAAAAAGTATGGAATACAAAGGTCACGTTAAAATTACAGCAATTTTGAACTAAAAAAGAATATCATAGTTGTCTTTACACCAAACGAGAGTTTATGATTCATAAAAATAAAGCATGCGTGAAAATAAATGCTAGTACTTTGCAGACTTCGAATGACCCGAAACAATGTCCTGAAAAATAGCTTTCGTTAATTATCGTTGCTACATTTTTCTCTTCACATCAAGAAAGATTATCTATTTCCAGATGCCTTTACATCTTCAGCTGAACTCATAATCAAAAGTACTGTGTCTACTGATCTGACTTCTAACTAGTTATGCGACTTCCACCAACCGTTCGGCAACAATATCATACGAAAAGTAATTCATTGCCGTTATGTCACGGAGAAAAATAGTTTTACTATGTACCTCTGAAATGACGTACAATCGTAAGATAACAGTACCCGACGCCCTAGATGTTTGAAGTGATAATTGATGGCTGTTATCCCGTTTTCCACTGTTTTTCAAGAATTTTGTCCACTTTAAGAAACTATGTTCTTATTTCTGGACAGACTAATTCATCTATTTTTTCAATTATGTTGCACACCTACTCTCCCGAAGAATCTTTAAAAGATATGGAACAAAGGCTTAATAGTCAAATGTATCATTGCGATATGATTAATTATTTTGAACCCCTAGAAGTAACTCCGAGATTTTACCTGTGTATATATGAAAGTATATAAATGTTTATACATGTTTGGCTGACTATCTTGCATTATTTATGAATAGTATTTTTTTACTCAAGACAGCTTCTACATACATGTACCATGACTCATATATTTAAGCTTGACATCTAATCATAACAACCATTTGTTCTTTGTCTGGTTGACCGCTATCCTGAGAATAATCTTTTTTTGAAATAAATCTTATCTAGCACACTCACTTCATGTCATAACTTGTTATTACACCAAAGCAAACGCAATTGCTATGATATTTAAGTCAAGTGACCGTATGAAGTTAAACTAGATAAACGATAGTAGCAAGGTCTAAGCAAGAGACTAGCAGACTGACCAGTTTATTCAGTTGCATCTATGTTAGTGATTTCTTCAGGCAACTGGTATTAACAATGGGAAAACTTAGGAAAAATCCTTCACGAATTTATTAACAAGCTATTTGAGTAAACGATGAGTGTTGTTCCGCACGAGCTCCAATAAATACATACGTAAATGTATCACATCAAATCTGAATACTTAATTCACCTAAATACCATTACGAAATTAAATATTTATTCTTATGTCAAGATAAATCTGTAAATAAAATCAGGTACAGAAGTATCAAACCATATTGCCTAAATTATAATGAGCAAAATGAAGATAATAATAACGACGTAAATGTACCTTTCAACAATTTTATTTGCTAAAGGTGTGCAGACGAAATCATAGGTATTTTTCACAAAGTAGTCTACAATAAAATAGTAAGGCGCTGTTTTCATCAAAAAGGGTGTCGAAAATTTCAAGTATCGAGTAGAAGTTACATAGTGGACAAAAAGTTGTAAGAAGCAGTAAAGTAAAAAGTGACCTAGTGAAATAACTAGTGCCCGAGACAACTTGTGGTTCAGCTAAATAAAAAGTCTCTCAGAGATCTTAAGAGTCAGCTTTTCAGGATATTGACCTTAAAAATTCTACCTTGTTGGTAAAAATAGTAAGGAAGGATCATTTTTTTCAACAAGCACTGATAGAGAATAAATGTGAGATAACAAATGATAGAAAAACAACTTTGTAAATAGAAGTAATTAAAAGCAAAGATGGATGGTGGTTAGCAGAGGAATCCAAGACGAGCGTTTCGTCTTATTTGGGACTCGTCAGCTGGATGTATCTCCATCCCAAAAAATGAATAGATTAAAAGAAAGTTTTCAAATAGAGTTCTAAATCAAATTAACATACTGAAAGATTAAATAAGATATATGTAAGGAAAACAAAACACTACCAACCCTATTAATGTTGGATACCATGATCCAAATGAGAAAGTAATCCCGAGTAACCAACAAATTACTTTTATCTAATATTCTTCAATAAATGTCTCTCATTCATTTAAAAGTGAGT